GCATGTTCTTCACCTCCGGAGGTATATTTTGTGGCGGCGCCCCAAGCAAGGAGTGTGATGATAAGGGAATGGGAGTTCTTGTGGAGTTGCCAGGTGTTGTGGATGATACGGGCAAATTCGTTGTGATCATGGGGTTGATTGTGGGTGATGCGGACACCCTGGGCAAAAAAGCCAGGGTAGTTGGCAAAGTGAAGTGTGCTGGGTAAAAATCGACCTTGACGTAGAATGTTGGCAATGTTGCCGACCGGGCCTGTATGGCCAGCGTTGATGTGGGCGACTTCCCGGTGGGTTGATGTGGCTCGGGAAACCGCGGGCGGTTCTGGTGTGGTGGCTTTTGTGTTGAGGAAAGGAAGTGAAATGGCGTAGTATTGGAATTGATCGTATTGGTGAGTGGTGTCGTTCCACCTGGCGTGAGTATATTGCCGGAAATCGGTGATCTCCTTGTAGGTGATGTTGCAGTCTGTGAGAAGATTGGCAATGTACTGGTGCTGTGGTCGGTTGGGGTTGTCGAGTTGGGTGGCGTGGAATTCAAGCCATTCCAGGAGTTGGTCTGCAGGTGAAAAAGTGTGAAAGTTGGGTGGAGGTCGCCAACGGTTGATTGGGCGACGAAGGACGGCTGTGGTGGGAAATTGAGAGGGGTCGGGGTTGGTGTGTTCAGTGTTGGGGCGTAAATCGATGGGTTGTGGTGGTGAGCGACTGCGGGATGGTGTAAGGCTGGATGTGTAAGTGGATGTCGAGGGTGAACGGCGTCGCCGGGTTGCGCTGTGGTGCTTTGAGTGGTGGTGATGTCGATGTCGGCGGCGGTGGTGGTGGCGTCCTCGGCGGTGATGATCGGACTTGCGTCGGCTCTTGTGGTGGTGGCGGCGACTGCTGTGTGGTGGCTGTGGGGAAGGTGGTTGTGGTGCCGGTGAGGCGGTGGTGTCAAGCTTGTCCGTTGCAGGTAGTGAAGGTCCAGGAGCTGGTGTCGCGGATGTAATGGATGGTGATGCGGAAGGTTGGGATCCAGTAGCTGGAGGGGTCGTGCTTTGGACCGGCAATGGAGGGTCCGTGGCGGTTGTGGTGACGTGTTGGATTGGTGGTGTGGGGTCTGATGGCGTCTGTTGTGGGAGTGGAGGCTGGACTGGTGGTGAAGCGCCGATGGTTTGTGGAGGGGGCGGCGGAGGCAACGGTTGGGGTAGAGGTTGTGTGACTGGGGGAAAGGCTGAGTATGGTTGCCAAACGCCGTGGGGGATGGCGCATTGTGGGTCTGTGGATGGGTGATGGGCAACCGCGGTCTGTTGTGGTGTTGGAAGGGGATGTGTCAGTGTAGTGGGGGGAGGAGGTTCAGCCGGTGGTGTGGGATGTAGTGGTGGCAACAGGTATGAAGGGGGAGGTGCTGCTGATGGAAAAACTGGAGTTGGATGTGTGGGCTGCGGAGGCATGTGAGATGGTTGCACAAACGTCCAGGTGGACGGAGTGCCGTAGGTCAGTGCAGTGGCGGTCGGACTGGACAAAAAAGGTGGTGGTTGAAATGGTTGTGGTTGTGGGTGAGGGTATGCCGATGGTTGTGGCGAGGGAAAGGTGGGTGCAGTTGACGGCTGTGGCAGCGGCCATGTGGGTTGAGGTTGTGTGGTAGGTAATGGTGGTGGCGTGGCGTGAGCGTATGGCCACGGAAAATGCATATCGTAGTCGTAGCAATGGCACGGCGCGGCGCAGCAGCAAAAATGCAGCGGAAAAGTGCCGAGTTGTATTGTCATAATGTTGTTGAAAGTCTCATCCCTGGTGTTGATGGAGAGTATGTTGTAAAGTGGTGCTGGAGGTAAGCTTGTTGTCAGGTGTGTGTTCATGCATCTCGAATTAGATTGAAGAGCTCTAATGCCCAAACTTGAGTTCTGCTGATGAAAAAGTCACGGCATTGATATGGCAAAACGTGGAGAAACAAGCATGACTTGGAGAAATGAACATGACGGATCCGAAATCTGAAAGCTGATATCCGATGTATTCCACAAGACCCGTTTTTTGGCCCAGCGGCCAGTATGTCAGTTGATTCGGTGAGGGTGTCGGTGACTTCCTGTGAGAGTCCAGTGAGTGGTAGTGCGTTGTGGCTGTTGCTTTCCCATGCAGGATCGGCGCCCCTGTGACGGGGATCACACTCAGCACCCGAGTGGGACGGCTGAGCGAGACACACTCTGACACTGGTTTTCAGTTAACTCAATTACTCCGATGGGAAGGAAGGTGATGGAACTGCAAGGTGAACAGGTCCGGTGACTTGAATTGTTGAACATTGTTTCACTCGCTCTGCTGGCTGCACTGCACAAGCGGCTGAAAGCTGCGGTGGGAAACCTGTTTGTGGGGAAAGTATCGTGTGGAACCACCATGAATCAAACCAAAAGATTGGACAGCGTGTTCAAAAGTTGGAGCAGGTACGCAGGGCTGATCGGGCCCTGCTTCCCACTCTCGCCCACAGCTTCGTTGCGTGTGGTAGGGCGAGAGTGCCACACGCCCCTGCCTGTGAGAAAAATTGTTGGAAAACCCTTTGTCCAGGGGTGGACACACACACACAAACACACCCACGCACGCACGCACGCATACCTTTGTTCTTTTGTCATGATGAGAAGACATGAGAACCCAATGTTTCGGCTCGGCCCTATGTTTGTTGTCTAAACATATTTAAATCTCTCCAAACGACCCTGGCCTTCGCATGTGGAAGTTGGCTCATGTTGGCTGCGGTGAGCAACGATGATGCTATTGGTTCCTGAAGTAGTAGCTTCTTCTTCCTAGTAGTGATGGCCTCCAACCTAATAGCGATGGCATCCGCCTAGTAGCGTCCGTGCTACTAGTAGAGACGAAAATGATTTTCCTGAGCTAGGCAGCTTGAACCTGAAAAGTGACATGAGATTTGACGACGAGAGAATCGGGCCGAAAAGCATCACATGTCAAAGTAGAAGCGCAGGCATTTTGGCCACAACACCCACCACACATAAGGGCCCCTATCTTATCATATCTTACAGTATCTACCATGCCCCTCCCCCCCAACTCTACTTCTACCTATGCCCCACCCCAACTCTGACTTGCATTGTACTCAACATCTCCTCACCAGCTCAGGAGCTCAAATTCGGGGCATTGACGGCAAAGCAATTCCCGGGAGTCTATGTTTCAACATATGTTCCATGCCCGTCGCATTTTCGTGTACCATGGTGCAAGTGTCCATGTTAGATCATGCTAGTTGGCGATCAAGCTTTCGCGGAGTTGACCGACACAACGGCATCGTTGAGCATCCTTGTCATGGAAAAGCAACTAGTTCAAAAATAATATATTAATTAAGGCTTCTCACACTTAAACTCGACCAACTGTTGTGTTCTCTTTTTTCAATGGGGAGTTGGCAAACGAGCACTTTTTCCTGAAATCATGTCTAAAAGCACCTTGGTGCCATGGGGCACCATGAGAAGGCTCATCTTGAATTGTGCACTGGGGCCGCTGGGGGGTGATTGTTAGGCTACCGTTTTCCAGCGCTCGTCCCCTTTGAACATGGCTTACACCTTCTCCATGGTGCCCACAGCCGCTAGCCACCAAGGGGATATCTCAGCACATTTGAAACACCGAACAAGGTCAGTTGACATCTCCACCATAAATGGCAATGTCATTCCCTTGATGGCAGTGGAAACGAACTGCGCCCTGGCATTTGTCAGGCCAGCTCTCATCAATAACACGATTCCCATCTTCGGCAAATTCCATGTTTCTCCATCTTGCTTTCTTTTGGGAGCGGGGTCGTTGTAGTCTTTTGCCTCACGTTTGAACCCGAGGACTTTCGCAACATCCCACCTTTGGAGGGAGATTGCGGAGATCCCGACTCACTGGGATCTCTCCACCTGGAAAAGCGGGCGCGCCTTCTCTTATCGAGAGGTTGGCCAATCGCCACGTAAGGCAGGCACCCTGTCAGTAGATCTCCTTAACATTTCCTAGTAGCTGATAGTAGCTGCTAGTTCGTTGATGTTCCTTCGCGTTGGTTGGTTGGCAAACAATGCCCCGTTTCCTCTCGTCTTGGTCTATTTTCGGGCGTTTCCCCCAGTTCTATCTCTCCGACGCACAGTATATAAATTATATAAGTGGAGTTCGAAATGACTCCTGGAACTGGGTCTTCGGACCACGGTCGTCCACTGGCACTCTCGCCTCACCTGGAGAGTCGGCCCGGAGCTGAAGGGCTCCTGGATTCGGAGGGCTGCTGGAGACATGATTCAATGATGTCCTCAATCCTACTGTATCAGTGAATCATCCTGTATTTGTAGGACTGATCTTCTTTTTTGGCTAAGGGAGGGAAACCAGGTTTAGGGAAAGGGACATGGGACATTCTGGGATGACAACATTCCAATGCTGCCCATCGGTCCGAACATGACGCATCCAAGGTTGGAACTTGAAACCCTGGTTAGTGATTCATTCAAGCAACGGCTCCCGCCAAACCATGCAGGCTCCCCAATGCAGGCTCCTATTCGTGGCCTTGATGGATCTCATGTAAGCAGTGGTGGGCGACCTTGACCGATCAACGGAGCCGGAAAATGGCTATCCGACTGTTCTCTCTAAGTTTTATCTTTTTCGATCCTCCGCAATTGCTGTAGGTCGGCACCTCAGCTCCCAACTTTCTTACATTACATCATTACCACTGTTGAGCTGATAGGCTCTGTGCATGGCAATGGCTGAAATTTGGGGTGGCAGGGTCTTGACCCACACGCACACATGCCCCAGCTGTCTTTGACAGCTGTGATCGCAGTGCCATGGGGTAATCAACTAAAGGCTCGTCGGTCTTCTAGTTGACTCCAGAAAACTCCAGAAAGCTGACGCGAGTCGTTCAACACACTCCTTGGCAAGCTGTTTGGGATCTTGGCAAGCCTCATGCGAGGAGCTCATTATCAGATTTCCAGCGGACAGACCGAACTAGAAGCACCAGGTGCTAACCTGCTAAAAGGATGCCGAAGGAATCTAACAACTTACGTGTATCATGTGTAAATGAACCATCTTGCGGGTATCTGATATTGCCAACTCTGGGGTTGGTTTCGGTCGGAAGCACCAAATCCGCACCCAGGTCCGTCTGTCACTGGCGTCCGGTTCAGGCCAACTCTAGCATAGTCGTGCCCGCACCGCAGGGATGGTAGATTAACATCGCACAGCGGACGTGCCCGCATTCATCTTCCACCTGTGCAAATCGAACAACTTGACGTCAAACTGTATGCATCGGTTCTTCTCCATGCCCAACCACCTGTGCTCCTGGCGCCCCAAATCGCAGTAAAGCATGGTAAAGCTACAAAACTACAGTTGGGATCAGTTGGGAGAGGCAAAGGCAGGTTCTGCTGACACTGGCTACCCTTGTTGGAAGGGTCAAGATGGTCAAGGACACATCTATATAGCATTCTCAATCCATGATTCAGTCACTGAACTCCTGTCATTGGCGGGTGACCATAATGATGGACATGATGGCAGCAAAAAGGCCACTGGCTCCCATGGCCAGGAGCTTCAACATCCTGAGAATAAGTGGCAAGGAACCGAAAACAAGCCTATCAGCACATTGGGTGAGACAATGGATGGTACTTTCTTGTCTATTTACTTGTTTGCAATCGCTCTCACCATGCCTCGACCTCATAGATTTGCCACTCCCAGTTTCAGGGGACAAGAACACCCAGCAAAGCGGCAGTAAGAGTTGAGCTCCAGCAAGCAAACCTCCAGCCAGTGCTTTGGCATTCTTGATGATCTTCATGTTTGCAATTCCTCAGCTCCCAACTTCTCGCAGCCAAAACGTTCGGGCGAAACGGGTCGGGGCCGGTGGTCCAGCAGAGCGACGCGCGTCGGTGGTACAACCAAGCAGCGACTGCGATGTGCCACCAAGTGTGGGTCATTGGGATCGAGAAACCTGGTTGGAAACCGCGCTGTTGCTGGCGAAACATGTGCATCCGAAATGCTCGTGCAGTGTCAACCATGTCAACCTACACTTCCAAACAGCTACTGTACCAGTACTCCAAGAATAGCATGAACATATAAAGTAACAAGAAGATACTAGTAACAAGTGCCTTACTAGTAGTAACAAGAAAGCTAGCATTAACATTATTCCTTGACGGTCTTGTCGAATCCCAGCTGCGGGTCGTCGTTGGGCTCATCTCGGCCGGCTCCTTGTGGGCGCTCCCGAACCTCATCGGCGGGCAACAGGATCGCCTGGCCGTGTCGCAGGTTCAACCCACGCACAGCCTATGCCAGAAACAAGAAGCTACTAGTAACAAGTGCCACGCTAGTAGTAACAGGTGCCTTACTAGTAGTAACAATGTTTGCTATTAATTAGCATAAGCATGTCTTCTTCCATGACTGAAGCAAGGCTGGCGAGTCATTGTTCTTCCTGTCGGGTCATGCACACTTTTTGTATTGTCTCTGTCATATTACTTTCCCAACTCAGCCCCCTTCAGTCTCAAGTGTGCAACAAATATGAACAATATCGATCACATATGAATATGTTCACAGAAAAATGCAACCATGTAGTAGCGCATAAGCATGCTCTTCTCGTCCCAAGTACTTGTGTGCTCCCTGGCAAGCCTCCAAATCAATGACCCCTCTGACCTGCATAACATGGCGCAACACAGCGGCTTGCTATGGGATGGTGGACGTGGCGGCATCGTCAAACAAGGCCGAAGGCAATGTGTCAATATGAAAAGAAAAAGGCCAAAAAATGCCAACGGCGCGTCCTCGTTACTAGTAAGGCCAGGAGCCCCGAACGTAGCGTCCTTGCTACTCAAATTCACATTAACATGATGATCGTTTCAGTGTCTGAATGAGATGATGGCCGTGAATGACACAGCTCACAGCGGCGGAGGCCGCCTCCCCTGGAAAGGCCGGGTGGTACATGAACAGCGAGCCCTTTGGGAAGTCCACCGCAGTGTTGTTCTTCCGTGCCTTATTGGTGCGAACTGCCATGGAATGGTTGTTATTGCTGCTGTTCTGGGGTCCCTGTTTTGATTGTTCCTTTGGGAGTGGTGAGTGGTGTCATGCCTTGTTGCAGTTGGGCTGGGCTTTGTTCCTGGATGAGTGGCTGGCCAGCTGGGAGATTGAGTGTGTGGATGGGCGATCCGTTTTGGTAGAGACAAAGACTTAGTGGAAATGCTCCAGCGGCCGTGGCCTGCCACCTGCCATTCCTGTCACCTCTACAACACTTTGGTTCTCAAGACCTGGCAATTGATTGGACCATTTGGATTCACAGGATCATTGGTTTAGCAAGTTGAACCTGCCTGGAGCACACTACTCCCCGCTGTCCACATACAAAAGCAGAACGTCAAACTGACCCAATGCACAATTGAGCTGAGAAACTCAAACTTTGTCATGCCATATCATGTCAAGGAACAAACGTGACCATGGACACTAATGAATCCAAATGGCAAGAAGAAAGTCTTTGGAGAAATCCAATGTCACCTCGGCCAACCTCAGTAATTATAGGACCCAAGGTGCAACTGTTGCAAACAATGCTCTCTGCTGGTTGCAGTTAGGTTCAAATTGAAATGCAGGCGGCTCAAAGGACCACGTGAACTCATGTGAACGGAAGACATCTACGTCCTGGACGTAGTTCGCGGATGCCAGTGGAACACATGGTCGCAGGGTCTGTCAAGATGGAGGGCAACCCAACAGCCCCTTAAATTCAAGTGGCACTTCATCAGATGCCAGCATGTTGTCGTTCCAGATCTGCACTGTCAGCCTGTTTCAGGACTAGAAGGACTATCATGCTCGCGTCCTTTCTTTTTGTTCGGACATGCTCGGACTGCTCGGGTAGCACCTTGAAGACACAAAGCAAACATGTGTCAACTAGAAACAACAGTAGAGCAATCCCTTCGCAACACTGCCGTGTGTCAGTCCGGAGCCAATCTCATTGACACATACAATGCGTGACATCATCAGGGAGCCCGGAATGCAAGGGCAGCGGTGGTGTTCTTGGTGATTACACTATACTCCGTATGCTCCTTGATGCTGGAATAATTAATTCGCAAAGAACGCTAGAGAAGCCAGAAAAGCATGTAAAGCACTAGCTTTGTTCCAAAATCTCAGCATTGATGCTTCCGGTGCGCGCCCACCTGGGCTGCTTGCATGGGATCATGACCTCATGAAGCTCGGGCTAAAACACGGTCTGCTAGGTCGGTTTGGGCTTGGTTCTAAATTTTAATCTCAATTCTATCTAATAGCAAACGTTGTTCCTAGTAGTAAGGCCAGGAGCCCCTAGTACCGTTCTTGTTCCTAGTAGCGTCCTAGGTCGGTTTGGTTTGGGCTTGGTTGGTTGTTCTGTGTGCTTCGGGTTTCTCCTGGGACGTTCCTGGGACGTACAATGTATTTCCACGGCTGAGCTGGTTTCTGAACTCCTGCAGAATGCAACGCAAGCATTCATGCCAAAAAGGACCCTCTGGCAAATGTACCTCGCATCAATGCAATAGTTTCAACAATGCGTCTGCAACAATGAAAGGGCCGAAGCGATCCAAACGGTGCGTGTCAAGCCACATTTTTGAAGATTAATCTCCAGTTCAGCGTCGCCTAAGTAGCCACGGCAGTTTGATCTTCACAGCCCAGTTCATTGGTTTTGAACAGCCTGTTGTCACCGCACGGATGACAACGGACTGATAATGCCACATACTTCTCAAGCCACGTGGCAGTTCCATCATCACAGCCAAAGTGTGTGTCCGTCTCCTCGTAGAGGTCTTTCCCATCATCCAAGGTCATCTTGCCGCTGGCCTGAGGACGCTGGATGAACTGATGGGCAACCAGGTGACTCCAGTGACTCCCCCAAAACTCTACAGTAATCAGCCCAACGACGTTCTCAAAGCAATTGCTACCAGCTCAAAGTTCGTTCACCCAAGGATTCTTAATATAATACAATATACAGAAATCCGTATACACACATCTATAATTATACATGGGAGTTGATCTAGATTCCTTTATCCGGGATCCGTCATTTTCGCCAAAAAAAAATTACATTCGCCAAACTTTCGCCTTCCTGCGTTTGATCTTTCGCCGAAGTACGTTGTATTTATGTGTGCCATGTATGTTGTGTTTTGTTCACGTCAATGGCTTCTTCTTTACAGGCAAACACAAAATAGAAACTTCACTTTTTGTCAGCATGTGTCTTCTACTTAACTGTTGACACCCTGTACGTCTCTTTTGTTTCTCCTGGGTGTCAGCAAGAATCAAAATTGCAAGAATCACTGTAGTAGCCGGTCACTCAAACTTACTCATAATGGGCTGGGGGTCAGATGTGGCAGGGTGAACTTTCGCCAATCTTGAGCTGAACTTTCGCCAAACTTTCTCCTTTTGCGGGGTAGAGTTTTGTGGCAAAGCCACCCCCCAAAGCAGGAGCAGGAATAGTAGTAGTAGTAGTAGTAGTCGTGGTGGTGGTGGTGGTGGTAGTGGTAGTGGTAGTCGTAGTAGCCCCAGCAGCAGCAGGTTATCTAACTTCCACAGCTCATCTAGCTTCTGAGTCACTGCCACCAGCTGTTCAGAAAGCAAATGAACATTCATACAAAAGTACATATTTAATCTTTCGCCAGATCTTTCGCAAAAAAAAATACTTTCGCCAACTCGAGAAAAAACTTTCGCCAAATGAGATTTTGATATGTTCCGGGTCATCGTCATACACACTGCTGACTAGGACCTTTAGATCGACAACCACATACACATACAGAATTACAGTATACAAATGGAAAATACACAACAGTATGTTTTGGAGTCTCCTGACCACGGCCACATGGTAAAGGCATGTAAAGGCACATCCATATCTCAATGATCATATCTGTAAGTGTCGTGGACCAAAAGGGATCATGCCCCACCCTCATACCATCCTGTCTTTGGTGAGTGGCAGCCCGATTCATTCATGATTCTCAAAATGCACGAAGACAGCACGGAGCCGCCTTCACTGAAGGCTCGGAGATGCCCTCAGGGGATTGGATATCCACCACCTGGCAGGTCGGTGCAATCTGATGCCGCTTGGAGGGCGAGCTGGGGTGGTTTTCATGGTGTTTTCAATGTGTTTGCATTGCTGGATAAGGGCTTGTCCAATCTCAGGCCTTCTGAGACTCTCCAAGAACTTTCCACATTGTACCAAACCATCAAAACGTCATTGAAGCGCTGACCACTAAGCGACTAAGTGCTATCAAATGCCATTGCGCCTTGAAAACAGCCACGCGCAATTCGAAGGGCAAAGGATCCGTGGAAGGCAGCGACTCGATTGGCCGTTCCTGGTGGCTGCAGCACCACTCCTAGCACCTAGTTGGCTTTAGTTTGTTCAACAAGTCCTTGCTAGTAGTAGCGTCCTTGCTAGTAACAGGTAGCGTCCTTGCTAGTTAGTAGTAGCGTCCTTGCTCCTAGTAGCGATGCCAGCCCCTGGTAGCTTCTTGTTCCTAGTAAGGCCAGGAGCCCCGAACGTAGCGTCTAACAAGTCGTTGGCAATTCGTCATGGACGATCTGAACTAACGTTGCGATCAACTGGACCCATCGATGCGACTGATAGGCTCGTCGAAACAGCCCCGATTGCGATTCTTCAGGAGAAAAGGCATGAAATAAAAAATAAACACAAACATGCTACAAACATCTAAACTAAACAGAAAATAAACAATACCTGCTCACTGTCCTGCGCAAAGGCATCTGGTGGCGGGCAATCCTGAGTTGCATTAACTTCTCTCACTCACCCTTGTTCACATATGTGTCATGCAACCAGGGAACATCAGAACCCACTTGCGGAGTCCCCAATCCGAACGAAGCTACCGGAAACAACCGATCTGATTCATGTTTGCAACACAGGGTAGGTCTGAGTTGAACAAACTGCCCGCCTGCTTCTGATTGTACATGATGTCCAGCCACAGGCGCACATGGCCTAGTTACTAGTTGGCTAGTCGGGCCAGTGCTGTGTCGCAGTATGCAGCTTACTGATTGTCCACGCTCCCTCGATTGTTGACCATCGAGCTGCTCGTGAACCCTTCAAAATGCCACAGTGATGTCAGCCATTCATGCGATCAAGTGGCCTTTACTGAAAACAGAGCCAGAAGTCCTTGGGTAGATATAGATGCAGCAGGACTTCAGTGCAAGACTCGGCGCAGTGCACACGCCAAGGAAAAATATGCAACTACGCTCCAAGCAGGGTGTGCAAAGCACAGGGCCAAGCAGCAGGAGCTCCCTCGATTCAATAGGTACCTCATCCATCGTCACCATCTCTTGGTAGTGGGAGTTGAACCACCTTGGTGAGCAGAGAGCAGCCTACCCCGACGCCACAGTCGTTTAGGCCCTTGGATGGCGGTTGGAGTCTGGTGGAGACTTGCTGTGTCCTTGCCATTCGCCAAATCCGATCGCCAAACCCATCTCTTTCCAGCTCAAGGACCGATCTTCCAAGTCAATCTCCTCAGCTCGATCCAGCTCACACGCCGATGGTCCCTTCAAACTCAATCAACTTCACTGCATCCGCCCTCCTCCCCAGCTCGCTGCCGAGCATCCGTCGATCCAATCACAGTCCTTGGGATCCAGCACCGGACATGGAAGCTTTTCAACTTGGATCTAGGGGCAAAGCCGCTGATTCAAATGTCTCAAGTGGCTTCACACAGCAAAGTCCACAACTGATGGACCTACAAGCGGAGCACCCAGTACTAAAGACCTAGACCTATGTAAATTTTCTGAAATTTCCTCATTGCAGCTTTCAAGCGCACTTGGTTGAACATTTTTGACTATGATGATGACTATGCTTACTTACACCTTACACCATCTTACACCTACCATCACGAAGAAACACGCAGTAGGCTTAGGGAAGTGACGAACAACCATGAGTCAAAGTAGCTAATCAAAGACGAACTGGTGAACGCAAATAATCTTTATGTGGGCAAATGCCGTATTTTTACACGTGTGCTAGACTGCCACCAATCAAGAAGCATTCGAGGCTGTGGATTCTTGCAATAGTGGGCAGGCTGAATGACCCTGACGTTTCACTGCTGCCAAGCATCTCGGAAGCGCCCGAACCGAATCGCGCATTGGTCACTTCCACCAGCGACAGCGTCATTATACCTGCAACACGTGAATTGCAGGTGAATGCCATCTTCTTCGAAAGATGGCTTTCCTTCTTTCATTCAAGGCGCAATGGTCAGGAAACCTCACCTTAGATCAAAAACTGAACGCATGTGTGGCGACTATGGAGTCCCTTGTGACCAAATGTGACACGGCAGTCCAATCAATGAAGCACAGGCAAGAAAGAAACTCTACACCGGCGTTGATTCTCGGCCTTGATTCTGCTCTCGCTCAGTACCATTTGGTTTTTAAATTGTTTAAAGATACTTCTCACTTTCACCTTCTTGCTCCACAAGATTTCACAAGTATGTCAACAGTTACCCAAAAGGCTTCAGTGGCATCACTTGTTGCATCCTGTAGACCGAACAAAACCACTTTGACTCCTTGCATTTCGCCGGCTTTAGCAGCTCCCAATTGGATCCGTGTCACACTGGTGAAGGCGTGCGGCTTGTTGAACTGAGGATGCCTCATGTCCCACTGTTCCAGTGCCATGGGAATCACCGGGCTTCTGCCGACTTCTGCCAATTTTTAGTGCAAAAACTGCAAAGAGTTGAAACTTTGACTCGCACAATTCACACAGCATCCAAAGACAGGCACTTTGGGCCATTTCCGAAATCCATCGAGCAGCAAGGTATGCTTTCGCACGGTCAGGTTGTCCTTGAGGTTGTAGACCTCAGTCACAGCCAACCCGGACCGGAATAATGCACGTGGGAAAATGCAACTCGTCCAAAAAGGACAACTGGGAGTCGCACTGGATTTTGCTCTTCTCCTGCAAAACTATCAAAAATACGTGGGCTCGGGCCTAGCTAGTCTCTTTGTTTGGATTCGTTGCTCATCCTGCCTCCGGAATCAACGCGGCTCCAAACGTAGCTGTTGCAATCCGAACTGCCCGAAGGCGGCCGCAAGCCATCTCCGGACAGCACGTACCTTGCGCAGTGAGCCCCAATTTCTGGCAAACCATGCGACAGCCTGGAAGCAGTGGCCTTGGGTTTAATACATGCTTCTACATATATGCCTTTTCATTCAATTCAACATCCAGCTTGTCTGCACAGGAATGGCATCTTATCATGGTGTAAATGGAACTTGATTTTACTTGATGTAAAACTTGCGCCCCTACACTTTTGTTTACGCTCCTCTTGATTGATCCATGCCACGCTCGTACTACAAGGTCCTTGGACTTCTCATAGCGAAGCTTGATTCTCTTCAGCAAATCTTCCTAAGCGAAGCTGACAAAGGACCAGGCGTGACAAAATAATATAGTGCAACATGAACCCAGAATATTCTCGGGTAGGCACGCAACACATGCAACTCTTGCATACTCTTCTGTAAGCAACCCTGTTGAACTTCTATACGATCGTCAAGTGTTCGGTTCTGTTCTTGCAAATGTTGGGCCAGCTCGTCGCTTCAAAAAGTTGTTGGCTTTACAAAGTGCTGCAAGTTTGAAAGGCGCTCGGGTGCGATTGAGGATGGTTCCGTTCAAATTCACAGAAACCGCCTTTAACTTCGACATGCGTCCCACTCCTCTTGCGACATCGTAGCCTCAACGCAACACACTCGCATGTTTTGAAGGTTGCATTGGGTGAATTTTCGCTGAGGCATCAGCATGCTGAGACTCCTTGTCTTTGTCGTCCCTCGGAGGGCAGCACTTCTCCGACAAGAATGTCTCTGACTCAATCACCTTCATGAGGTAGCGTAGAAATGTCAAGGCAGCCAGCATACTACATGTTAAGTTGCTTGAGTTTAGTGTTTTTGCTCGCAAGAAGTGTTTTGCACCAATGTTATTTGGAAAAATGAAAGAAGTGTTTTGGTGTTTCCGTGGCCAAGTCTTAAAACACTTGCACAACCAATAACCATTCGACCCTTCTTCGCACCCTCAATACCCTGAAACACTACAGCCATCAGTCACAAATTCCCAAAGCGCAAGCACCAAATGCCGTTTTTTAAACAAAAAAATGCAAGCAGTCTCACTAATCCAAAGATCAGCTCTTCTTGAACAGCTTTCGCAGGTCTTCAAACAAACTCCCTACAAAGTGTTTACAAAGTTTTGGATCTTTACAAAAATCTGACAAAGTTTTGGAATTACAACTTTTTTAACCGAGTTTTTGCATTACAAAGTGTTAACAAAGTCTACAAAGTTTAAAGATAGAAATAACAAACTTCACAGTTTTTGGAAACTTACAGTACATTGAATTTTACAAAACTTTGGAACTACGAAGTTTTTACAAAGTATTGAACCTTTAGATATCTGAACAAAGCTTTGGACATTTATCAAGCTTTGAACAAGTTTTGGAATTTTACAAAGTTGTTACCAAGTTATTGAGTTTGAAAGTCTTTACAAAGCTTTTACAAAAGTTTTTGATGCTTACAAACTTTCTACAAGAGTTTCGGTTGTTTCAATCTGTGTTAAAACTTTGTAAACTTTACTATTTGAAAACTTTGCAAAACGTTGTAAACTTTGTAAGAACTTTGTAAATACTTTGTAAACTTTGTAAAAGCTGTGTAAGCTTTGTAGAAACTTTGGTGAAATTCTAAAACTTTGTAAACTTTGAACAAATTTTGCAAACTTTGTCAAAACTTTGTAAACTGTTGTTAAAATTGTAAACTTTTTAAACACTGAAACACTTTAAACTTCGTAAACCTTTGTAAAAACTTTGTACACTTTGTAAAACTGTGTAAAAAACTGCGAAGACTTTGTGTAAAAAATTGTAAAATGCGAAACCTTTGTCAAAACTTTGTAAACACTTGTAAACTTTGTCAAAACTTTGTGAACTTTGTCAAAAAGTTTGTAAACATTGCAAACTTTGTACACTTTGTACTAACATTTTGTAAACTTTGTAAACAACTTTTAGATGTTGTAGGCCTTCGTAAACTCTATTTAAAAAAAGACCGTTATAAACTTCGTAGCACTTTGCAAACTTTGTAAAACGTTTTTAAACTTCGTAAACTTTGTCAAAGCATTGTAAACATTTTGAAAAGACCCTGTGAACGTTGTGAAAACTTTGTAAACTTTGAACACTTTGTAAATTTCCTCAAAACTTTGTACAAATTGTGAAACTGTACAAACTTTGTAAAAACTTTGTAAAATGTAGAAAGAAACTTTGTAAACGTTGCAAATAAATAAACTATCAAAACTTTGTAATCGTCGTCAAAACTTTGTAAACTTTGTCGAAACTCTGTAAACTTTGCAAAACTTCGTAAACTTGGCAAAATCTTTGTGAACTTTCCAAAATCTTCAAAACTTTGTAAACTTTGTAAAAACTCTGTAAATTTGTGTAACAAAAGGCAAATGTCGCAAACTTTGTCAGAACGTTGTAAACTTTGTAAAAACTTTGTAAACTTTGTAAAAACTGTGTAAACTATGTAAACTTTGTAAAAACTTTGTAAAACTTTGTAAAGTTCTGTGAAAGAAGTGTTTTTGCACGATTTTTTGCTTGAAAAGAAGTGTTTTTCATGTCATTTGTTGTAAACATAAGTGTTTTTCACCAGCCATTTGCAAACTTTGTAAAAACTTTGTAAACTTTGTAAAAACTTTGTAAACTTTGTAAAAACTTTGT